AAAATCACTCTCAAAATCAAAGTGTTTTTTCATTGAGCTACTTGATCTTTGAACTTTCTTATTTTTCTTAAAAACCTTTACTCCTTCGTTGTATTCATTGCATCATTCAGCCTTTTGGAGGTAATTGAGTTTGTTCTTTGTTATCTTTGTATTACATTATAAAGGTTTTTCCTTAACATTCAAAAGGAATTATTTGTGAATGGTTATACCTTAACCAAGTGGAAAGGTAAAGGAGTTTAGTTTAAGCTTGAAAAAGATTATCGTAAAGGTTGAGTCTAAGTCTTGAAAATATTGATTTTGAGGGTTATGCTTTGTCATAAAATAGCTTTTTGAGATAGTGGATTCTAAACTCTTTAGCAAGCTAAAAGTGAAGACGTAAGCAAAGAAGTCAAACTTCTATAAAAATCCTTGTGTTCTTTCTTCACTCTCTTAAATTGTTTTCATTGTTATTAGTTCTTAAAATTGTTTTTAAAATCCTTCAAAGAGAGTTGCTACAACTTTAGTTCACTAGTTTCAAAGAAGGTTTTACATTCTTACTTGTTTTAAAAATACTCGACTTTTCGATTTTGCAAGAATTTTGAAAACCTTCAATTCACCTTCCTTAAATTTGTCTCCTTTAAGTTAACATTCTAACATCAAGAATTGAATGAGAAAGCTATGATTATACATAAGTGCATGTTTATGATAATTGATGTTTTGAGCTAAAACTCTTCTCCTTAGCTTGTCCCATTTATATATTCACTTACGGTGTCTTTGTGACTCATTTGCTATTTTCCCTTGTCTTTTTTTTTTTCATAGATTAGTAGTTTGCTAGACTAGGCGTTTTATGAAATAGTAGCTTAACTTTTATTTGGTAGGTGCAGTAGTGCCTTTCTTTTGACTTTTCAGTGTCAATACGTTCTGCAGTGTGTTGAGTCAACTCTTATACTGTTGATACATGAATAATTCTTGGTTATGTAAATAAATGTTGATATACTCATATTTGTTTATCATTGTGAATATTGTGTTGAGCCTCGAAAATAGGTGCATATAAATGTTGATATAATGGTGAAAAGACCATAGGTGATAATGGCACAGGATGCATGTCGGACCATTATTGATATATGTATTGTGAATATTAATATGAAATGAAATAAAAACCCCATGTTACATTGAGAAGTCCCATAATGATGTGTTCTTGATGATTTGCTAATGAATTCTATTATGTGAATAGAATTGTATATGAATGCGATAGATGATAAGCCCATGCATTGTTAGTTAAGGGTTGCTTAGGCTTAGTGGGTTATATCCACATAGGTCCTTGCGCTAGTCACAAGCCCTTAGAATTGAGTAGTGAGAAAAGATTTGAGCAAATTCAAACCACCAACATTAACAAATAAAATGAAAACCTAAACTTCAACATACCAATTTTTTGTCCAAAGTGGCTTGAAATGCATAATCAAATAAATCTTCCCTCCTTTATACATCTATTGAATCTTGTCATCGAGTTCAGGTAATTAATTTCAAGAGTAATGGCTAGATAAGTAATGAGGATATCAAACTGGAGATCGAACTTGAATTCTGAGTCTTGCCTTGTACTCCTATTTCAGCCTCTGAGTCTATGTCTCTCCATCTTTGTGGTTGCGTTTGTCATTAGTAATGGGATTTGGGTCAGTATCTACTTTGTCTTCGAGTCCTAACCTTTATTTTGGGTTTTGCTTTTTCGAGATCTTTTAACCTCGGATTTGTATTTTTTAAAAAAATATATGATTGAGAGATTGAAATTGGTAAAATGAAAGGACTTGATTGCACCATTGCGAGATGAAGAACAAGAGAGACGAATCTAAAACATAAACCCTAAAACTGAATTTAAAAAGAAAACTAAGAAGAAGAACAAGAAAATAATTTGAATGCTTGTTGAACAAGAAGAAAGGAACATGAAAAAGATTTAGGGAAAATGGAAATATTTTTTTATTTAATTAATTATTAAAAGTTTTTATATTTATTATTAAGTCCTTCTTAGTTTTGTTTTTTACCTCATTGACGAGGTGGCAACATTTGGTAGACTGACAATATATAGAAGTTATACATTATTAGTATATCAAATATTAATATTTTTTTTATAGTTACATATAAGAAAATTAAAGGTTAATATCTAAAACATCCTTTGAACTATTTCAAATAAGCCATTTTTCTTTTATTGCTATCGATCAAGTTCTTATACTTATATTTGGGATCAAATAGGCCATTATAACTAACGTTTAACAAATTGTTATTTATCAAAATGTCAATTGTAATTTTATATCATATGGCACTTATATGACATGTTAATATGTCATAATGGATAATGACATGGCATGTTGATGTAGTATGATTGCATGACCATGTAGCTTTTTCACTTTTCATGCCAGCATCACATGGGTATAAAATGATACATGATATTTTGACTAATAATAATTAGTCAACTGTCAATTAGAGGAGCTTATTTGATTAAAAAAGAAAGCACCGAGACTTGATTGAATGTAATTGAAAAATAAAAATATATATGAATTTTCTTAAATAATTAATGAGTTTTTTAAATTATTATGTTAAAATTAAATTTTAAAAAATAAAATAAATTCAAATCCTTGATTATAAGAAAGTAAAATTACATTCATATATATATATATATATATATATATATACACACACACACACACACACACACACACATATATTATTTTGCATATTTATTATAAATTTATTTGTTATTTTGATAATTTTTAAATTGAATTAATATGATTTATGTTGTGATTCTAAAACCTATTATTGAAATGATATATTAGTATATATTAAAGTAGAATGGTAACTATGAAAGCAAACTGACATATCAAGCTTGTGATCATGGGGCGATCATAGGGATGAACTTGGCATTATAGCGTGCCCGGCCAACGTAACATAGCCCACATAAGTGTGATCAAGGGTCCAACCAGGTAACGTCCTGCTAGGTATACTACACCTGTCTTAGTTCATTGGTATCTCGTATGGTTTTAACATCTACCAGCATAACATTTTGTGATTTTTTTTCAGGTAGTCTCTTGACAAGTTATATTTCCATAAGGGGTTGAATTAATAATTTTATTTAGTAAAATTATAAAACTACTTTTAAATATAAACAAACAGAATAATTTTTGAAGTGAGAATATTTTGATAATTTGATTAAGTAAAACTAACAAAAACAAAATTTATTCACAATGTGTTAATCAGGAAAAATAAATCACAAGGTATTATGCAAAAAAAATTATAACCACAACTGTGGGTGGAGTTTACTTATAAAATAATTGTAACTTGAATATATAATTTTTTATTATAATATCAATAAGTTTATAAAATAGTTGATTTTAATTCAATATTAATATGTTATTACCTTAATTATAGGTTTTTTTAGGTAAAATATTTTGACTCTCTTAAGTTTTTATCATAATTTCACGCGAGTCTATTAGTTTTCAAAATGAACAACTTGCCTTAAATGTGTAAACGGTATTAATGGATAAACATGTAATATCTAAAATACCTTTCTTTTTTTTTTTACTCTTTTCTTTTCTTTTAGGTTGATCGACGATACTTCCTTACATTGGCCAACCACCTTGCGACCGCATCTAGCCTGGAACATCAAATCCGATCGAATCTCCTTACGGGAGTGCAAGCTCTGACCGTGCTCCCCAAAGAGCACCCAAGGGAACCTTGATTGTGCTTCTTAAAGGGGCACTAAATCATTACTTGCCATCTGGTGCTCCTTTCGAAGTGTCAATTTGTTGGTCCCAAGGGGAGCATTGTCGAACGTGGGGTGGTTGGGTTAAGAGAATTTTTTTTTTGAAAAAGAGAAAAATTTTTAAATGAAAAATTATAGTTTATGTAGTGGTAATTTTTAAAATTAATAAAAATTAATTATTTTAAAAATATTACAACTTTATCAAACTAACGGAAACCTTGACCTTTGATTAACAAATAGGACTTATGTGTTCAGGGAAAATATTTTTTTGATAGATTATCTATTTTGAAAACTAATAGACCCACGTGTAATTATGGTTAAAACTTAAAAGATCAGTATATTTTACCTTTTTGTTTAAATGATAAAGTTTTAGATAATCCTTATGTCAAGAACCTACATTTTTGACCCAAGAAACATAACTATTAGATGGAAGAAACTCTTATTATAAATTTAAAACCTATCCCATCTCTCATTGATATGAAATCTAAGACATTGTATCCTACCTAATTGTGTAACGCTTTCATTGCATTGGCTTCTTCATCTATAGAGGAGAGAGATCCACTTTGGTCCGAAACCATCTTGACCTTAAAGTTTCATATTAGTGAAGAATTGAGTAGATTTTAATACTACTTGTTATATATATTCATATTTTTACTCAAAAAATATGTCTATCAGATAAAATAAATTCTTATTTATAAACTCAAAATTCATCTCTCTTTTATTGATGAGAAACCCATTACACTTAAGCTCACTAGACCGTAAGATTAATTTTAAGATGCACCATAGTAAAAGATGGATCCATCCAAAAAAAGAAATAAAGGAAAAAAGAAAATTGAAATAGTTATTTGGGGTTGAGCAGCATGGGCATTGGTAAACCAAGCGGGCAGTCCCACCACGGCTTACCAAGTGGTTAGGCCGTCCTTGTAAATGGGCCCGAAATCCACATCCAATGGTGAGCTGAGCCGACATCTTTTTGATTCCAATACAGAAAGCCGAAGCAAGCAGATGTGGGAAACAGGGGATATGGCATTCGAGCTATCTGCCTCCACATGTTACGTTAGTATATTCTATCGATTTTTCACTCGTTAAATTCGACAGGAAAGGAAGAGCAAAGAGAAGAGTTTAGTTAAGTTATGGCTTACTCTTCACCTCATCTTTCTGCAATCCCACAACGCCTCTCTTTCACCTCGAAACCCTCCCCAGCACACTGTAAGTTCTCTCTGTCTTTATATTTTACTATTCGTTACGTATGAGAAATAGACAAATACATACCCATTGGAGCTATGGCTTGTTTCGAATTCTGCGTTACTTATCATTTCCTTTAAGGGGAATTCAAGGTGGCCCTTTACAATGTTTTCTTCGCTTCTTATTTATGTGATGTGATGAATCTTGAATTCATGTAAGTTACTCAAGCATTAGAATCTTGAATCTAAGCCATATTTCTCAAAAAAATTCATGAAATAACTTTGGGGCACAGATAATTTTTCAATGAATTGGGATGCTTCCTAATGGTTTTGCATGAATGATCATGTAAAATTTCAATGATTGAGTGTGGATGTGAAAGTGGCTCCATTTTTGCAAGTGATAATGGGACTGAATGTGAAAGTAATTTCATAATATGCACATTTTGCATTAAACTCAATGATCATGTAATATGATTTATTTGAAGGGAAACAAGCTGGATTTATCCATTCATATTGGATTTTCTGGTGAGCTCTGACTTTGAGGTGTTTCACCTGTTGCTGCCAAAGCATGTATTTCTGTTTTTGTGGTGTTTTTCATGGTGCAACAAATATTTTAACCATTGTATTTCTTTGCTTTAAATAGCAGTAAACTCAAGGTCAGTTGGAGTTCAGGTAAAATCACGTTTAGAAAATGAGAGCTGCACTCCAGGAGTTTCAAATGATTCTTTAGAACCTGCTCAGAAGAAGGTTTCACTTCTTCTCTTCCAATATCTAATTTGTTATTACTCCTCAAAGTCACAACAGTATCTCTCATTTATGTCAAAAATCAAAGAGTCCTAAAGCCTTTCTGTACTGCAGATTAGCATTGATTAGGTTGAAACTTCATAATTTGCAAAGTACTTTTTATTCTTAATTTTAGGGTCCATTTTTGGCTGCAGGGAACCCAAGTATCAACATCACGGCGTTTGTGTCTTACTTGTTTATGTTCAAGTCTTGCTTTGGTCAGCAGTGCTGGCACCTCTGTTTCTCTAGCAAATGCAATGGCTATGGATGAGAAAGAAAAAGCTGTATGCCGGAATTGTGGAGGAAGTGGTGCTGTACTTTGTGAGTGTCTCTTCTGCATTTTCTTTCATACTTATTCTACTCCTCTGGTAAATGGTCTAACCAAGTGAACCACACATATGTGCATCTTGTAATCTTCTTTGAGATTGTCCTTTGCCCTGCTTTACTTATACTATCCTTTTCCAAATGCGAAACTTTAATGAATTCTTGGTTATCTTCCTACCTGATTGCATCATATAACCAAAAGATAACTTTTAACTAGTGTGAAAGTCCTAGCACCATTTACCAATTTGAATGCATTAGATAATGGACAGCTAACAAATTTGTTAGACTGGCTTATTTGGTATTTGTCCTGTGGGAAATAGTTGTGCGTTGTCATGTATAATCCTTACTACATGGCAGGCCATGGGTCCATTTCTTTTTTTTTGCCTTTTTTGAAATTCTATGGACTTTTTAGGGATAGTGCTTGTTAAATCAAAGATTTTGACTAAGTTTTTAGTGCTTAAAGGGCTCAAAACCTTACTTCTTATAACCATTCATGACATTGAGCTGTCTCTTCTGTTCTTTCACATGATAACTTGGTCTTCAATTCCTGCTCCAATGAAAGACTATGAAACTTGCGACGTTCATTGTTAAGAGTGTTGTGCAATTTTTTATCCTCTTTCCGATTCAGAAGATGTTAATTTGCTCTTTATTTAGGTGATATGTGTGGTGGTACAGGAAAATGGAAAGCTCTCAACAGAAAACGTGCTAAAGATGTTTATGAGTTTACTGAGTGTCCAAACTGTTATGGTATATATGCAGTCTTCTCCTACTAGTATTATTTCTAAATTTGCTATATATACCAAATAAATGCTAGCATTTTTTTTCTTGTTTTGAATTGCTATGCTGCTTGTCCTGTGCATGCAATAATCTGAAGATTATTCTACATCATGGTTGATTGCCTTGGGATAGTTTTAAACTTCCGAAAGATTGTCCCATTATCTTTTTCTTTCCAAAATGATGGTAAATTATAAATGTGAAGTCATGTCAATAGTTGGAATTGTATTTCTTATGATGCTGGACGATAATTGAGCTGAATATGCACCTTCCCTGATCTATATACTGTTACAGCAGAAAAGTTGGTTCCAAAAACTGCATGCTGTGGTTATATGTTAATTCGTAATTGGCCAATTCTGTTTAGAGTATAAATGCAGTTGCATGGTAAAGTATTGGTCTGTTTTATGTTTAGGCATATACTGAATATGTAGCTTGAGATTCTAAACTCTCACAAAGGTTTCTTTGATTTAGTTATTTTCTTTTCTGAAGTGTCTTCATGCTATTTTTTATGACAATTGCCAATTGATCACTAGTTGCTGCTGTGAGCAGGTCGGGGGAAACTGGTCTGTCCTGTTTGTTTAGGTACTGGTTTACCAAATAATAAAGGTCTTCTAAGGAGGCCTGATGCACAGAAATTACTCGACAAGATGTACAATGGTCGACTTTTGCCAAGTTCTTAGGTAACTCATTTTGCTTTGTCATAGGCTTGTCAGGCCTGTAGCTGTTGTGGATGTTGGCGTCATGATTGTCTAGTTTATAGCAATAATAGGTTACTTTAGTGACACTTTAAAAATATTTTCAAGCAAATATAGTAGAATGTGGTTTTGTTTTTATGGTACCTTCTTGAAAGATGTATCTGTTATTTTGATCTTTGTCTGGCAGTTAGGAACTTTGATGCAATTTTTTGTCAACAAGATGAATGAATCCAGAGACAGTATATACACTGATTGTTAGTCCAAGTACCACCACAAGTTTGAGAAGCTTTTACTCTGGAGAACAACCTTAAAAGTGTCTAAAGTTTTGTTTGTCAACCAACTACTATTTATTTGATTTTTGTTCAATGTAGAGAGGACAACAGAATGCTTTGTTAGATTCTTTTTTGATAGACATCTTTGTTGGATTTGAAAGGTGATTTATGTTTAATTTACATATATCAATTCACCTGTTTGGGAAGCCATGTTAAGACACTTGTTAAATTCATAGCTTAGGTTGCTGAGCATAACCAAGTAACATGCTCAAGTGTACATTTTTTGCAATTGTTCATGGGACGTGGATATTGAGCACATTTTTCTGCATTTTTGGGACTCAAAAATTTAATCTTACACACACACATAATATAATGTAATGGATATACTATAAACCAAATGTCATTTGGATTAAAGGAGCCAGGTTTAGGGAGTCAAATATCAGCCAAACCAAACAAAGTTATAGCATTCAACCTCTCCTATGGCTTTTTTTCTTCTATCTATATGAATCTATCCTTTGACTTGTTACAATCAATTCTATCCAATCTGTTTTGGAAAATAAACCTTGTTCTGTTCTACTAGTTTATAAACCTTTCATTTTTATGCATTTCTGTTTGTTTAATAGAAGCAAAACACCAGTTTTATAATCTCACCACGGGATGCCTTCTCTTTTCTTCCTTGCTCTCCATGTTAGCTTTCAGAACCTAAACCCTCGACGACCATAAAATATAAGATTCATGTAAGGCCAGATTTGACTTTAAACTACCATTGGAGGTTCAGTTACACCATTCAAGATTTTCCACATTCAACAACCATAAAATTTGTGGAACTAAGCCTAGAAAGCATTTGATTGCTGTCCTGGAAGGACTGAAGTTGACTTGTTGAAAATTATATAATTTATTCTTGTGCCAGAATTGCTAAAGCTCTCATGTTGAATTTGAGCTGAGATGCTTAGGTTCTGTGTTATCTGGATTGCCTCCATGTTGGCTAGTGAAGTTTTAGGGATCAATATTAGTTTTTCATATGCCCCTTTTAACTTGAAATCAAAGAACATCATTTGTATCGGTAATATTTTAAGTGGAAAAACCCTTTTGGCATAACACTCAGTAAACTTTTCTTTGAGTTTATTCTTTTGCTAAATAGTTTACTATTGGGATTTCAAATAGAGGTTATTATAATTTGTTAAATCAATAGAATCATGATTACTAAGATTCGATTTCATGCTCAAATAGGAGAATACTTAAGAAATTAAAAATATAACGCATCGAAAAATAAGAAATTAGATGTTAATCAAAGAAATAACTAAATCCACAGGATCAATGTTTGTATTTTTCATGTAATTTTAAATAAATTATAAATATTCATAATTTTAAGAGTTACATACTTTGTTTTAGATATCGTAATAAAGAGTCAATTAAATCCAAAATACTTGCGATGAAGAAATCCGAACAGAGAACAAATCGGTGTGAAATCTTGTAGTCAAAATCTTTGCTTTTTGACTTTTAGGATTTGTCAAATTTTTAGTCACCCAAGTATTTGATCTCTAACAGTAATTCACACAGTGATTGAGTAAGACCTTCTTCAAGATAGGATTTTTACTTATACTAACAAGTTTTGTTTTTGAAACAAAATGGCTAAAAGTTCTTGCTAAATCTTATTTCTGTAAGATAAAGAAAACTATTTTGGTTTTCTTATTTTTATGAAACGGTTGAAGGCTTAGAGTTTTAGTTGGCTAACATAATATGTTGATATAGCCAAACTAAGTTGTAGCCCAAGATACAATAGTTGTATTTAATTCAATTAAATCCTTGTGAATTTACTTAATTTCTCACTTTATTTTGGTTTATTCTAATTAAGTCCAACTTAATTGATTATTTTTATTTAATCCTAATCATGTCATTTAATGTATTGACCTATTAAGCTTTTGACATGTTGGTAATAAATATAAATCTTAATTAAATATTAATTTAATAATTAATTTATATTTATAGATCGTGAACGGTATCTAACAATACATCATGACCATCTAAATGTTAAAGAGTTATTTAAAGAATTTGACAAAGCCTTTCAATGATAAACCTCTGAGTGCAATACAATCCTTTCATTATTATCTTGGATATGTTATAAAGCATAGCTCAGTGTCTACTTATAATATTCTATATTAGTTCTCATAATTTATGACTGACCTTATGAATTTAAGAAATTAATTTTCTTCAAATTCATCATACTCTAGCCAAATACTTTATACAAGTTAATCAAAAATTGAGACAAGTGAGATAAATCCCCTCACATCACTTGGGTGATGAATCCTTTCTTGACCACTCATTCATCTTCACATGTTTCATGGTATATCCAAAAATATCCTGTTTAGGCATTTGGTCGCCTCCAGACCTGTAGAGGCGAAATCAAAGTATGTCATTTCCTATACAAGATGACCTGGTGTACTAAGTTTGAGGACTAGTTGCACGACTATCACATGATAACATATTCCATAGACACTTGAGTGAAATGCCAAATAGAGTTCTCATAGCATTTCATGTTCAATGAACTTGTTCTTTAACAAGCATCCACATGTTATCCTCAAGTATCTCATATATTTCAATCTATCAGATAAATTGTTTACTTCTCAAGTAAAGAGGCTTAACGTGTATCAGTCTTTGAGCATTGTCAATGTCTTATCTTGACAATACAATCACCAAGATTAATTTTACGAATATGGCTTTGATGCACAGTTATCTCATAATTGTAACAACTTTACAATTCTCTTACAAGGCCTTTATGTTCCATGGGCTTCATCCATTTAGAATTTAATAATTCCTTATTATTGCACTAACATGAAGAAAAACCTCTATCACATATAATTGTGTGATTAAGTATGCATTAAATGACAATATATATTCCTTAACTAATCCAAATTGCTAAAAGGCATATGCCAACAATCTCCTACTTGCACTTGAGTCAATTACTAACGAATCCAATATCGAACTTTTTTGCTTAACAACTATGTCTCTACTAGGACAACTCAAATTCTAATATTTTGGAATATGCTAAATTATATGTTTAACAATCTTTATTGTCATAATCGAAATACTAATTTAGATCACAACGAAACCTTGATTCTATTATTGTGGCTCTTGTTGTTATTTTAACAACTTAGAATCATTTATTGGTTCATAAAACCAATAACACAAATATCTCTTCTTTTGTAGCCTAAACAAAAGATTTGTATCCGATTATAGATATAATCATACAATTATCTCTTGTTTTGGAACCATTCCAATACAACTGCTCAATCATGACTTTATGTCACTTTTAACATTTAGAATTCTCTCTATGTTAAACTTCTTTACATATCATCCTAAATTCTTTTGTTGAGTCCCCTTTTAGGCTCTAACTCTTTAGTCCCATTTTATTTTTCTTAAACTGATAAATGTATTTTATACACTTTTAATGAGCAACTTATCTTACTCCCACTAATCTTATGATTTGCACAAAATATGGTTATCTTATTTAATGTATTCAATTATTTTGAATTTATTGAATAAAGATTATTATCCAATCATTCATGTTGGATCATTTAGTAGACTCATCTTATATGAGTAGTGCATCAATATGCATCCTACTAATGGTTTGTATTTAATGGATTTATCTCATGAATTATGCATCCTTATGTATCCCATTAAATCAATCTTTGTGCATGGATCTTATTTGTTGGATTTCATAATTTCATGACCCTTGACCTTTAAAGTGTAATTAACTCCCACTATTTCTATCATGTATGGAAATCTTGCCAAGTAAACTTATTTACTTTCTTTTTGGGCGTTATATTTATAACTTTTATGTGTACTTACATATTATAAGTTCATTATCAATTTTGGGATGAAATCCTCTCAAAAGTTAGTTCTTGCGATTAACTCGGTTCGGAATGCTTTGTGATTCATCGCTTATAAATTCAATATGATAATCAATTGTTATTTAGCTCTAAGCAATCTTAATTTAAATATTTTATCTCAATAAAAATACTCCTTAACTAAATGTGTTCATAATCCTATTATGAATTTATTGAGTTAGGACTTAATTTTATCTAAGTTATCTGATTAATTTTCTTTTTGATCCATAATTAAAAGAAAAATAATCTCACATTGATCTTATCATTATGACTTAGTACTAGTTATCATAAACACAAGGTTATACTTAAGGATAAATAATTTAGAACAATTTCAAAATTAAATGAGATGCAATGTAAATATATGAATATATATAAGCTAAACATCTCATGCTAGCAAAATATAAATCTATATAAAATAAAATATTTAGCCATAGGCCCAAAACCAAAACATCTTATCTTGGCAATCATGCCATGAAAACATTCAATGCTCTAAAAGTATTTATTGTTCCACAATTTAATCTAAATCTACAAGCTTGATCACCATCAACTAAGGTTGTCCCTTTTATGATCTTATTCTTCACTGCTCCTTGTCATTAGTTCCTAATGTGGAATCTTCCTTTTGTTTCTTCCCTTTGATGGATTTAAGATAATCCTTTCAATTGCGTCTCCAATGCCTTTGTTTGCCACAGAAATGGCATTTGTCATTGTTTTTGTCTTTCTTCACTCTTCCAATAGCCTTCATATCTTTTGAAGTTGATGCCTTTTCACACTTATCTTTCTTAGAAAATTTTTTTTCTTATTTTTATTTTTCTTCGAAGAGACAAGATAACTGAAGACTTCCTTTTTGCAATGGTGTTCTTATCTTGCTCATATTGAAGTTCAACACAAACTCTGAATAGCTCTTTAGTAATGAAGAAAGTACAAGATTTATGCTTAAATCATGATCCATTACCCAACTCAACAACTTAAATCAAGTGATATATCTTATCATCTTAAGCACATAAGGCTTTACTGGGCATCTTACATCAAAACAATTCCCTTTAAATGTCGAATATCTCTATGCGACTTTCCTTATCGAACATTTCTCTAAGGTTTAGGATAATATCCAAGGCATTCATAGCTTCATGTTGCTTTTGAAGATCTGGAGCCATATTAACTAACATTAAACATGTGGCTTGATCGAGATCATCCGTATAAACTCTATAAGCATCATTTTCCTCATTTTTAGAATCATCACTAGGTTCCTTAGGAACAAAACCATCTAGGACATAAGCTTTTTTCTCTTATTTCAAGACAATCTTGATATTGCAAAACCAGTCAATGAAATTTGGGCTTGTCAACTTGTTTGCATCAATTATGCTTCTAAGTGACAAACTATTCATCATGATCAATTTA